AAATAGATGGGATTTTAATAGCTTGGCTATGTTGAAAGTGCTTTTGCGCTGCCTTTGGTTGGCTGAGGCCCTTTCTACACTGCCGTATAAAATCCAGATTATCTGCTTTGGACTGGATTATATGGCGGTATAGACTCATACAATCCAATTCAAAGCAGATAATCTGGATTATATGGCAGTGTAGAAGGGGCCTGAGCCTCTGTTCCTAGCACGAGATTTGAAAGACAGAGTAGCCAAAAGAACTACGAGGGTTGAATGAAAAGTAATGCCTCCACCTTCGTAACTCCTCAACAGATGGAAAGTACTGGTATGCAGCAGGTACTGGCTTGTTCAGTAGACTCTCCTCTACAGTTCCATTTTGGCATTGAACGGTTGTGTTGTTAAAGTGCAAAGTAATGGAACCCTGTGCAGATGGTCAGTCAATGCGACTTAAGCAACGTGTAGTCATTGAATACTTGACAGCAGGTGTGTACAGGAGCCCCCGGTGACGCAGTGGGTTAAACCCCTGTGCTGGCAGGACTGAAGACCGACAGGTCGCAGGTTCGAATCCAGGGAGAGGCAGGTGAGCTCCCTCTATCAGCTCCAGCTCCTCATGTGGGGACATGAGAGAAGCCTCCCACAAGGATGATGAAAACATCAAATCATCCAGGCGTCCCCTGGGCAACGTCCTTGCAGACAGCCGATTCTCTCATACCAGAAGCGACTTGCAGTTTCTCTAGTCGCTCCTGACACGACAAAAAAAGCAGAAGGTGTCACCTCAACATCTTTGAACTTACTCGCCCAACGACGCACAGTACTCACATCAACACAGTCAGCATAAACGGCTTGCATTCTCTGATGAATCTGCTTTGGAGTGACACTTTCTGCTGTCAAGAATTCAATGACTGCACCTTGTTTAAGTTGCATTGACTGACCATCTGTACAACGTTCCATACTTCACACTTTAACAACACAACTGTTCAGTGCTAAGGCTTCCCACCAAAATGGAACTGTAGAGGAGAGTCTACTGAACAAGCCAGTACCTGCCGCATACCAGTACTGCCATCTGTTGAGGAATTACGAAGGGGTAGGCATTAGGCTTGGTTGATCAAGAAACAAAATGGTTCTAAACTCGTTTTGTATATAGGGGGCGCTGGTGGTTCAATTTTGAAATTATTTCCGAAATTTTCTTTAAAAAAAGATCGGAAATACCAGGAAATACTAATCGCTTCCTTTGTTTCGTTAATGGAAGGTGCTCCTCCCTCCCTACAGAACAAATAAAATCTCGCAGTTTCCCTTCCTTCCCTTGCGGTGTGCTTCTCTCACCTTTCCTTCCCTTCCCGGCAAGCTGTCAGTCATGCAGAAGGGAGAGGTGGGCGTGGCCAAGCACAGCACTCCTTGGAGGTCGCTGGGGGCGTGGCCCTCAGGAAAAGCTGTTCTTACCCACGCCCACCTACTTCCTCTTTGCATCGGCGGCTTTGCAAGGTGGGCTTTGCAAGGTGGGTGTGGCTATGCCCAGTGTAAAGCGGAATGAGAGACGAGGGGTCTCTTATTGCATCTGTGTGACAGGGGGGAACCTTTCAATCCCACCGCTGCCACCAATGTAAAAGAAAACCGACCACCTCCCTGCCTGGAGGAAATTACTGGGCGATGAGAGAGAACGACGGGTGTTGGACTGGTAGGTTTTTGCCGCCACCACCTCAAGTTACTGCTTGAGGAATATACTTGTGATTGTATCTGAGGTAAAATGTTCCTATGTCTTCTTTTCGGCTCCCTTACTGTTGACTGGATTACAGAGATGTATAGACTGACTTGACAGAACGAGTCAGAGGTTGGTTAACAATTAACTAAGAACAGGTTTATTGAAATTTATGAAGCTGACTACTCATTATAAAGAGGTACATAATAGGCTTGGGTAACCACGGAAAAATTTGGTTCTAAACTCGTTTTGTTTTTAGGGGGCCCTTGCGTTTCGTTTTTTTTAATAATTCCGAAATTTTCCTTTTAAAAATTTCGAAATTTACGAAATTTCGTAAAATTACGAATCGATTCGTTAATGGCGGACGAGATTGCGCAATATGCTAAAAAAACCTCCAAATGGGACAGGGGGAACTTCTGAAGCTTCCCTCTCCCTCTGTTGTTGACTGTTGGTGTGATAAAACAAACAACAACTATAAAACTTGCACCAGACATGCGAAAATAATTAATAATTTATTTATTTATTTATTTATTTATTTACTGCATTTATTGACCGCCGCTCTCAGCCCTAGGGCGACTCGCGGCGGTGCACAACATATAAAAACAGTTTACAAAAGGGCAAAACAGGAAATCAATACAACAATAATACACTATAATCTAGTTACACTAAATAATCCGCTCCGTCACATCATAGAATCATAACCAATATCGTAATCCGTATTCCGTTCCAGTTGTCAATTACCAGTTGCCGTAGCGCTCAGTTGAATGCCTTCTCAAATAGCCAGGTCTTCAGGCTCTTACGGAAGGACAGAAGGGAGGGCGCCTGTCTGATGTCAGCAGGGAGGTCGTTCCACAGCCGGGGGGCCACCACCGAGAAGGCCCTTTCTCTCGTCCCCGCCAGACGTGCCTGTGAAGCAGGCGGGATCGAGAGAAGGGCCTCCCCAGACAATCTCAAGGTCCTCGTGGGCTCATAGGCCAAGATGCGGTCCAAAATTAATTATGAATTAATTACGAAATAATTTCGAAATAATTACAAAATAAATTGAAAAAATTGTTTCGAATCTTAATTTCTCCTCACACTATTCCAGCACGGCTCAATATTGGATCGTAAGCTAATTTAAATACGAATTAATAACGAATTACGAAATTAACGAACGAAACCGCCCAAGCCTAGTACATAAGCGTAGTTTGTTTCAGAAGGACAGACTTATTAATTAACTGGTTTCTTAAGAAGGGGTAACTTTCCCCTGACGTGAGCTATTTTTCTCCACACTAATCAATCACATGAAACAGTGTGTTTCTAGGACCAGCCACCCTGGCTGTCCCCCAGAGTATCTAGCTTCCCTAGAATACCCTGTCCCTTAGAGAGTATAAACAATTGGTGTGTTAACACCCACACCAGTTCACAGGTGGCTATCGACCCTCCAGGCCACTCTCTCTAGACACACCTGCCTTCTAACACTCTCTCTCAGGAAAAATTTCAGCTCACTCGAAATCCACCCACTACCCTTCAGATCAAAAATCCAATCTCTCTCTCTGTCAGAAGCTGCCTGCCTTTTTCACACTCCCAGCTCCAGCTCCTCCCATCTGTCCTAGCCAATCCTGGGATAGCTGAGCTCCTCCCCTCTGCTGATCTGCCTCTCATTGCATTCCCTCACTAACATGGAGGCTGGCTTACTGACTTCTAGGCTTTGGCTTCGGCCTACAAAGGTGCGAGTCCATTACACCCAGCTCTTCCGCATCACCGCTTGTCGCCAGGGAGGTAGCCACGCCCACCTCGCAAAGCCCACCTTGCAAAGCCGCCGATGCAAAGAGGAAGTAAGTGGGCATGGGTAAGAACAGCTGTTCCTGAAGGCCGCGCCCCCAGCATTTACGATTCACTGCCGGAAGTCGTAAGGAAGATGGCGGACGCGGCTTCGATATGGCAAAAACACTTCCGGGTTGCCAAACGTGTCGATATCGTTTCTATCGTATTTTATTTACGATTTCATAACGAGATTAGAAATTAACAAGCTGGATCAACCAAGCCTAGTAGGCATTACTTTTCATTCAACTCTCGTACCGTCAGCCCTTTACATTCATTGAAGTAATGGGCACAGGGCCCTGCTGAAAATGGGGGAAAAAACCCTGGATCAGTCAATAGCCAAAAAGGTTTTAGAGGTCACATTCAGTCCCAAGGCTCCACTGTTATGGGAAGCATGCAGGGACACGAGAGAATTTATTTTTATTTATTTACCTTACTTATATACTGCTGTTCTCAGCCCAAAGGCGACTCACAGCAGTTCACAACAAATACGAACAGCAAAAATTCAATGCTACAGTATAAAAACAGTTAACAACCTAACACATTACACAATTAATAAACAGTTACTACAATACCCATTCACTGTCGTCTCATCATCAAAAACATGTTCCAGATTCGTCATCCATTGTTCCATTCCAGTGTTCATTAACCAATCATTGCACTAATTATTCGAACGCCTGCTCAAACAGCCAGGTCTTCACTTTTTTGCGGAATACCATTAGAGATGGTGCTAGTCTAATGTCTGTGGAAGGGCGTTCCACAGCCGAGCCACCACCGAGAAGGCCCTATCTCTCGTCCCCGCCAGCCGTGCTTGAGAAGCAGGCGGGATCGAGAGCAGGGTCTCCCCGGAAGATCTCAAAGTCCTGGTGGGTTCATAGGCAGAGATGCGGTCGGATAGGTAGCTTGGGCCGGAACCGTTTAGGGCTTTAAAGGCCAACGCCAGCACTTTGAATTGAGCCCGGTAGCAAATCGGTAGCCAGTGGAGTTGGCGCAGCAGGGGGGTTGTATGCTCCCTGCGCTCCGCTCCTGTTAAAATCATGGCTGCCGAGCATTGGACTAGTTGGAGCTTCCGAGCTGTCTTCAAAGGCAACCCCACGTAGAGAGCGTTGCAGTAGTCTAAACGGGATGTAACCAGAGCGTGGACTACCGTGGCCAAGTCAGACTTCCCAAGGTAGCAGATCGGTAGTCAGTGGAGTTTGCGCAACAGGGGGGTTGTATGCTCCCTGCGCTCCGCTCCTGTTAAAATCATGGCCGCCGAGTGTTGGACTAGTTGGAGCTTCCGAGCCGTCTTCAAAGGCAACCCAAAGAAGCCTCCCACAAGGATGGTAAAACATCAAACATCCAAGCAATGTCCGCTGGGCAACGTCCTTGCAGACTGCCAATTCTCTCACACCAGAAGCGACTTGCAATTCCTCAAGTCACTCCTGACATGAAAAAATAATCTTTAAACATGTGCATTTGGAATAGAATTGGACTGAGAGCCTTCCCATACCATAGTAGTAAGGAAAGGAGCGTTTACCTTCATACATCTCCAGAATGTGAACTGTGTCGCCAACCTGCAGAGAAAGCTCCACATCTTGGGCAGCGTCATAGTTGTAGATGGCTGCAATGAGAGAAGAAGCCAAGAGGGAATTAGGAACCATGGTCAAGGCCAGCGTTTACAATCCTTCGATCTCTCAACTCCCTCTCAAGCAACCACAATTGGTATCTTCCAGTTCCCATTTTGAATTTGCCACACGATTTGGGCATTATGGGAAGCTTGGGTATTGGTACCCTTCCAGCTCAGGCCGATAGCAAACCTTTAAATTAGCCAAGGACCCCCAAAAGCTCAATCCCCTAAAGCAAACTACAAGAGATTCCATCTGAACACGAGGAAGAACTTCCTGACTGTGAGAGCCGTTCAGCAGTGGAACTCTCTGCCCCAGAGTGTGGTGGAGGCTCCTTCTTTGGAAGCTTTTAAACAGAGGCTGGATGGCCATCTGTCAGGGGTGATTTGAATGCAATATTCCTGCTTCTTGGCAGAATGGGGTTGGACTGGATGGCCCATGAGGTCTCTTCCAACTCTTTGATTCTATGATTCTATGATTCTAATAAAGTGCATTTGGGACATGATGCTAGGAGATTCCTATTCTGGGAAGGCACACTGGAACAGCCATGTCTTCAAGCTCTTCCTAAAGACTACCAACATTGGGGCTTGTTTGATGTCCTTGGGGAGAGAGTTCCAGAGTCGGGGGGCCCCCACAGGGAAGGCCCTGTCCCTTGTCCCCACCAATCGTGCTTGTGACGCAGGTGGGATAGTGAGCAGGACATCTCCAGATCAATGGAGGGATCGTGTGGGTTCGTATATGGAGATGCTGTCACGCAGATAGGATGACCCATGAGGTTTCTTCCAACTCTATGATTCTATGATTCCTAAAACGGGACATAAATAATCAAATCTGCAAAAGCCAAACTTGCAGATGCAGAGGACTGATTATATTATTTCAGGTGCTGATAGAGTCAACAAAAGACCAATAAACCACAGAGCAAGTGAGCCTTTAACAACAACAAAAGAAACCCTTCCTCATTCCTCAGTTTGTTTGGAAGAGTCTTTCTTATGGTGGCGTGGTGGATTAAACCACTGAGCTGCTGAACTTGCTGACCGAAAGGTCAGGAGTTTGAATTCGGGGAGTGAGGTGAGCTCTTGCTTTTAGACCCAGCTTCTGCAAACCTAGCGGTTCGAAAACATGCAAATATGAGTATATCAATAGGGACCGTGTCTGCAGGAAGGTAACAGCACTCCATGCAGTCATGCCGGCCACATGACCTTGGAGGCATCTACGGACAACGCCGGCTCTTTGGCTTAGAAATGGAGATGAGCACCAACCCCTAGAGTCGGACACAACTGGACTTAACGTCAAGGGGAAAACCTTTACATTTACTTAAGAGATCAGGGTTCAACCTTTTGGTATTGGTCGAGCATCCCTTATCTGGAATTCCAAAATTCAAAATGAAAACAAGGCTGATGCAAATGGATATCAGGCAACATTAAGATGGAAACTGGAGGCACCTGATTATGGATGTTTTTGAAAACATTACTTTTTGGAAGCGACACAAATCAGTAAGAAAGTAACCACCGAATAAATGTACCAGATCAACTCTATAGTGAGGTATATTACTTCCTGGCGTGGAGCCCATATAAACAGACACATTGCAAGTTAAAATACAGGAAACAATAAACTCACAAAGTTCTCATCAAACAAGGAAACTATAAATAACGTAGCAACAAACAGAGATGGTTGGCTGACGTTTTTGGAGTTCAAACGCTAGGTTAAAAGCCAGCTATTTTAAGTTCCTCTCTGCTTTTGTGTGTTATGTCTGCTATTTCTTAAGCAAAAGTCTTCCCAAACTAACTCTTATGCTTCATGTTTGTGGAAAAAAAATCAGGATAACAGAATAATGCAATGTTGTTAGAACTCTTGCTGGCTTATGCACAAAATTGTGCTAGTGTCCTAGTTCGAACTGCATTGTGTGGTCAGACCGAACTGGATTATATGAGTCTGCACTGCAAGGTAATAGGCTTGGGCAATCCATGGTTCTAAATGGTTCTAAAGTACTTACAAAACTAAAGTCCTGGTGGTGGAAATTTCAGAACTCTAACAAAACTCTCAAAATTTCATAATAAATGGCAGTTCCTAATTGGTTCTGTCATTAAAATCATCACCAATAATGAAATAATAATTAAATTTTGAAAGTTTTGTTAGAGTTCTGAAATTTTCACCACCAGAACTTTAGTTTTGTAAGTACTTTAGAACCATTTAGAACCATGGATTGCCCAAGCCTACAAGGTAATCTAGTTCAATGCAGCTAATCAGCATTCTGAAAATGCATTAAATCCATTATATTCATTATATTATATTATATGCATTATATGTCAGTGTGAGTCTCCCCTGAGTCTCCTTGGTATATAAATAAATTGTTGTTGTTGTTGTTGTTGTTGTTGTTGTTGTTGTGTAGATGAGGCCTCTGTTTGGAGCAAATGACCGGATCTGGTATGGCTTTTCCGAGATAGTTTAAACAATTGATTTTAAAGCGGAGATAATTTATTTTAGTGTTTATGTATATTTATCGCTTATTTTATGTTCCGGCATTGAATGCTTGCCGTATATATGTTGTGCTCTGCCCTGAGTCTCCTGTGGCTCCGGTCCCTCCTGGAGGGTCATTCCCAGTCGGTTTATTTTATTTATCGTGTCATCCGCAACCAGAACATTGTATTACATTTTTAACAGAACAAAACATACAAACAGATAAAAAAACACACAAATTTTGCAAACTTGGTAGCTGATTAAATGTCCTTTGACCAGTATCTGGCCACTTGGAGTGCCTCTGGTGTTGCTGCAAGAAGGTCCTCCATTGTGCATGTGGCAGGGCTCAGGTTGCATTGCAGCAGGTGGTCAGTGGTTTGCTCTTCTCCACACTCGCATGTCGTGGATTCCACTTTGTAGCCCCATTTCTGAAGGTTGGCTCTGCATCTCGTGGTGCCAGAGCGCAGTCTGTTCAGCGCTTCCAAGTCGCCCAGTCTTCTGTGTGCCCAGGGGGGAGTCTCTCATCTGGTATCACCACGGATTGAGGTGCTGGGTTTGAGCCTGCCACTTTTGAACTCTTGCTTGCTGAGGTGTTCCAGCGAGTGTCTCTGTAGATCTAAGAAAACTATTTTTTGATTTAAGTCGTTGACGTGCTGGCTGATACCCAAACAGGGGATGACGGAGATGTCTCTGCCTTGGTCCTTTCACTATTGGCTGCAACTTCCCGGCGGATGTCAGGTGGTGCAATACCGGCTAAGCAGTGTAATTTCTCCAGTGGTGTAGGGCGCAGACACCCCGTGATAATGCGGCATGTCTCATTAAGAGCCACATCCACTGTTTTAGTGTGGTAAGATGTGTTCCACACTGGGCATGCGTACTCAGCAGCAGAGTAGCATAGCGCAAGGGCAGATGTCTTCACTGTATCTGGTTGTGATCCCCAGGTTGTGCCAGTCAGCTTTCGTATGATATTGTTTCTAGCACCCACTTTTTGCTTGATGTTCAGGCAGTGCTTCTTGTAGGTCAGAGCATGGTCCAGAGTGACTCCCAGGTATTTGGGTACACTGCAATGCTCCAGTGGGATTCCTTCCCAGGTAATAGATGATTTCATCTATGCTGATGATCGTGCCATTACCGCTCAAGCAGGGAGCTTTGAGATGGTTGAACAGAAGCTCTCCGAAGCCCTAGGTGCTCTTACTGCCTATTACAGGGAAAACCAGCTGATCCCCAACCCATCTAAAACACAGACATGTGCCTTTCACCTTAAGAACAGACAATCATCCCGAGGCTCCTTCTTTGGAAGCTTTTAAACAGAGGCTGGATGGCCATCTGTCGGAGGTGCTTTGAATGCAATACTCCTGCTTCTTGGCAGAATGGGATTGGACTGGATGGCCCATGAGGTCTCTTCCAACTCTTTGATTCTATGATTCTATCTTCCGGTCCCAATTCAAGGCACAGGTTCCCTATAAAGCCCTAAACGGTTTGGGACCCGCCATGACTATATCTCATTCCATGAACCAGCCCGAACTCTTCGATCCTTGGGCAATGCCCTCCTTTTGCCCTTGCCAGTCCCTCAGACTCACCTTGTGGGTACAAGGGAGAGAGCCTTCTCCTCTGTTGCCCCCTGACTCTGGAACTCATTGCCCGGAGAGATTAGGAAAGCCCCTATGTTAGAAACCTTTAAAAAGAGTCTCAAGACCTAGCTGTGCTGCTGCGCTTTCGGAGAGTAGCCACATAATTTATACTACTGTTCCCTCAATGTTCTTGTCCCAGGAGTTTCCCTGTCCCCCCACCCCACCTATGAAGGTTTGTTTATTTTCCTGTCTCTCTATGAGTTCTCCCTTACAATTAGTTCTGCCCCCTTATCTCACCCGGAGTTTTTAATTCATTTTATGTACATGCGACTTGCTCTCTGTCATTTGTTTGGTTTCTATGCTCTGTGTATACTGTTTCATATATTTTGATGTGCTACACTTTAATTTTACTGCAATTTGTATTTTTATATTGAAGTTGTTGTTCGGGCTTGGCCCCATGTAAGCTGCTCAGAGTCCCTGTTGAGGAGATGGTGGCGGGGTATAAATAAAGATTATTTTTATTATTATTATTATTATTATTATTATTATTATTATTAGGGTGGAAAATGAATATTTTAAATAAATAAAAGCTCAGAATGAAGAGAGAAAGTAGGAGACTGAGAGCCCTTCTATGTGAGAACATGAGAGAAGCTTCCCACAAGGATGGTAACACATCAAAAACATCCGGGCATCCCCTGGGCAACGTCATTGTTGTTGTTGTTCATTCGTTCAGTCGTCTCAGACTCTTCGTGACCTCATGGACCAGCCCACGCCAGAGCTCCCTGTCGGCCGTTACCACCCCCAGCTCCCTCAAGGTCAGTCCAGTCACTTCAAGGATGCCATCCATCCATCTTGCCCTTGGTCGGCCCCTCTTCCTTTTGCCTTCCACTTTCCCCAGCATAATTGTCTTCTCTAGGCTTTCCTGTCTCCTCATGATGTGGACAAAGTACTTCAACTTTGTCTCTAGT